ACCACTATGTAAGTTACCTCCTCATATGCAGGTAGAAACTCTGTCCTGAATCCTTCTTTTAAGAAAAAAACCATCTGATTTAAACAGAAAGCTTGTGAGATGGCCGGACACGTATCCGAATCATATTTTGTCTTTTTATATTATAGATTATGTCGTTTCTAAATGCCCTCAGCCAGGAAAGGTCTGCACAAATAAAGCCAATGTTTTTCCTTTTAAAAAAATGTCAGATCCGAAAAGGTAGAGAGAGGCATCATTTGGGATAATAACAGTGTTTACTCAAGCCTGTGCATATGTTAAAAATGTTATTTTCTCTAATTGCACATTGCGTTCCTATAGTAACGGGGCTGAATCCTAAACTGAAATGAGTGATCAATAGTGAGTGCCTGTCACCTTCAAATGAAGCCTTAGGTATTGTGGATGGTATAACGCTGCTCCGAATTTGGCAAATGGCTATAAAGATGTAGCAATTGAGAACTGAAACTAAGATGAGTTTCACTGATTTTTTTTTTGTTTGTCTTTTTTAGATTTTCACTGAAAAGTCAAACCAAGAAATAGCAACACACCTTGAATTATTACCGCCACAAAACTCACCTACCTCGCTGCTCTAAGGGCAAAAGAGAGAATGAGCTACTACGGCAGCAGCTACAGGATTGTCAATGTGGACCCCAAATACCCTGGGTACCCCCCGGAGCACGTCATAACCGAGAAGAGGAGAGCCAGGCGACGTCTGCTGCACAAGGACGGCAGCTGTAACGTGTACTTCAAGCACATTTTTGGAGAATGGGGCAGCTACGTGGTTGACATCTTCACCACGCTGGTGGACACCAAGTGGCGCCACATGTTCGTGATCTTTTCTTTGTCCTACATTCTCTCCTGGCTCATCTTCGGCTCCATCTTCTGGCTCATCGCGTTTCACCACGGGGACCTGCTAAATGACCCACGCATCACCCCCTGCGTGGACAACGTGCACTCCTTCACCGCGGCCTTCCTCTTCTCCCTGGAGACCCAGACCACCATCGGCTACGGCTACCGCTGTGTCACTGAGGAGTGCTCGGTGGCGGTGCTCACGGTCATCCTGCAGTCCATCTTAAGCTGCATCATCAACACCTTCATCATCGGAGCCGCCCTGGCCAAAATGGCAACTGCTCGCAAGCGCGCCCAGACCATCCGCTTCAGCTACTTCGCGCTCATCGGCATGCGGGACGGGAAGCTCTGCCTCATGTGGCGCATTGGGGACTTCAGACCCAACCACGTGGTGGAAGGGACAGTCCGGGCCCAGCTCCTCCGATACACAGAGGACAGCGAGGGCAGGATGACCATGGCATTTAAAGATCTCAAATTAGTCAATGACCAGATCATCCTGGTCACGCCAGTAACGATTGTTCACGAAATCGACCACGAGAGTCCCCTGTATGCCCTGGACCGCAAAGCGGTGGCCAAAGATAACTTCGAGATCTTGGTGACATTTATCTACACTGGGGATTCCACGGGGACATCCCACCAGTCTAGAAGCTCCTATGTCCCTCGGGAGATCCTCTGGGGACACAGGTTCCACGACGTCCTGGAAGTGAAGAGGAAGTATTACAAAGTGAACTGCCTGCAGTTCGAGGGCAGCGTGGAAGTCTACGCCCCCTTCTGCAGCGCCAAGCAGCTGGACTGGAAAGACCAGCAGCTCCACGGCCTGGAAAAGCCGTCCCGGGTCCGAGGATCCTGCGCCGCAGACGCCAAGGTCAGACGAAGGTCGTTCAGCGCAGTTGCCATTGTCAGCAGCTGCGAAAATCCGGAGGAAAACGCCAAGTCTGCCACGGACGAGCATAAGGAGCCACCTTATCAGAAAGCTCTTCTCACGCTGAACAGAATCTCCGTAGAATCCCAAATGTAGGCCCATGTCATAATGCCAGGGCTACGGCGCCATCATTTTCCCCTCCAGCCAATCACCTTAAGGCAAGTAGTTGTAAGCATGGCTTGGAAAAAATGTCATAGCTATGCTTTATGGTGAGTAGGTTAAACTTGGTGAAAGATAACTTAAAAATGCCATAGTTCTGAGATACTGAAAACTCTCTTGCTAGCCCATTTTGAATTAAGAATGCTCTTGATTGGCTCGGTGCCTGTAGCACAGTGGTTAAGGCATGAGCCACATACAGGAGGCTGGTGGGTTGGAACCCAGCCCTGGCCAGCTGCACAACAATGACAACTACCTTTAAAAAAAAGTAGCTGGGCGTTGGTTGTGGCAGGTGCCTGTAGTCCCAGCTACTAGGGAGGCTGAGGTAAGAATCCCTTAAGCCCAGGAGTTTGAGGTTGCTGTGATTGTGTGATGCTGCAGCACTCTACAGAGGGCAACAAAGTAAGACTCTGTCTCAAAAAAAAAATGCTATTGATTGATTAAACTTCATTTCCTTTTATTCTCTCATATATTCATGCCTCTGGTTGGAGGCACAGTATTTAGGAATGGGGATAAAGGCAGATATAAACGCTGGAATGAATAAAAAGTAGGAAAACAAGCAAGCTTGAATAATTACATTTTAAGCTATATTAAAATTGAAAATATATATATTAAAATCGATAATATAATGACTGATTTCCTATGAAAAATCATATTGTCTAACTAAGAGATACACAATTTGCCTCCAGAAAAATTATACTGCTGAGCTGAGTAGCTGTGAAATTAACTTGCCAGTCTGAATCCCTGGGCTTGTTTCTCACAGAGCTGTAGTGTCAGCAGGCAGAGGCACTGGGGACAACAAATCAATAATGCCACCAGGTGCCCTGCCACTTGGGCAAGCAGTGATCAATGAGTGCTAGCAGCTATTTTTTTCTCTAACTGATAAGGCAGAGGAAAAATTGACATCATTATTTAGAGCCGTTGTTCTCTCTTAAATACCCTGGTTGACACCCACAGAAAAACAGGGCCACCATGAGTTTGCTAGGTTCTCTGATGAGGGGACTTCTATGCCCACCTCCTGCCTTTCTCAAGGGTGTGATGAAGGGACGGGATCATATAGATAAGGTGAAGGGAGGGTTAGCAGCTATAAACACTCTCAGTGCCCTGAAAGATTGCAACTTCGGCTGCCATGTAAGACATAGAACCTTTAGGAGGCGGCTGTGGAGGGAGGTAATTGTATCCAGTAGCAGTTAGGTATGCTTCCTGTCCTGGTCACTTTACAAGACATAAATGACTCCAGTCATTGCTTTTAAGAAATGCTTTCACTGAAATCAGGACTTGAGAAACGTAATACAATTAAGATGATTTTAATGCACATTCACTGGATAATATGAGTGGTGTGACGTTGCTTGAATTTTGGAACAGGAGAAAAATTTGTGTACTCTATTTCCATGTTAAAAGGTGTTAATCATAATTGCATTGAGCACACATCCAATTTACCAAGGAGGGAAAGAGTCACTTTAAGCTTTGTAAATCGAAGAGTCATTAGCTGCATTCAGAATTATTTGCACGTTTTGTTTTTACTTTGTTGATGAGTTGCCAATAGGTATGTGCCACAGTTTTTGTTTGTTTCTTTTATTTAAGTACATGTATTTATAGACACACACAGTTCCTGCTTTTCTGAAAAATCAATCTCTCTCATTTAAATTAAACTATACAAGTAAAACAAATGAAATCAACTGGTCTGTGATTTCCAGTAAAGGTAAAATTTATGGTATGCAAAATGTTTTTTTTTCCTTCTTTCTTTCCATTATCTTCTTTTTTCTCCTTCCTTCTCTCTCTCTCTCATATCAAGGAGCAATAAGGTTACTTGTTAAAGGTGCATGTCCAAATCCTTAATTCCTGTTATTTTATGGATAAGAGATTTGTCTGGTCACAAGTTACGATTGCTGTCCTGCTGAGGAATTCAAACCTTATTTTTAAAAATCACACACACACACACTGTAAATTTAGATTTTACAGTAGTCATTCCTAGGCTAAATTAGAGTACGATCATCTCCTTAGCAGAAAACAACCACCATGATAACGCACACAGTGCTTTAAAAAAAATTTTTTTAGCTTGTTTCGTCCACTTCTGGTTTCATTTGACTTTGCTTGGCTTCCTGGACTCTGCCTCTTCCCTGAGGCTTGCCTTGTCAATATCAGGATGGGGCCATCAATGTCTAATTAAATGCATTCCTTGTACTATGGGAATCTACAATCAAACCCTCTTACCCAAAATAGAATGTGAAGTCAGAATTTCCATGCAATGTTTTTTCTCTCATTTCTGTGTAGCTTTATAACCTATTTTGACAACTTCAATGAGTTACCTAATAATAAAGATCCTAAAATGATGCATGAGCGTGTGTATATGCCTCTGTTCCCAATGGTATAGATTCTGGTTGCTGGTATAGTGAACATCGGGTACAGTGTGCCAAACACTGAGACTGTTTCTCATATAATCAGAGCACAGGCAGCGTTGTGATCCATTTCTAGGGCCTTTTAACAGCTTGTAAAACAGGAATACCTGACATAACAATTAGGTATTCTGTAAACATCACAAGAAGGCTTTGTGTACAATGGCATTTCAAGTTTCAAATGCTCTGTCAGCGCTGAGAAATAGGCTGGATATTATTTTTTCTTACGCCGTCTGTCTTCTCTATGAATATGAAATCGTTGAAGGAAGTTAATTAGACTGAAAATTAAGTGCAGCATCAAGGCACTGCTCCCCCCTTGAGGAGTGAATAATCCCGGGAAGAGAGAAGAACATGGCATCTTCACGTGCTGCCAGTTCCTCACCCTCTGGCAGGTGCTCCCGTCACTCAGATACATTTAATTCTCACAAGAAAACAGTAAGGTGGAGATTTTTCATTTCCATTTCATCAACCAAGTCTGTTGACAGCTTCCTAGCAAATTCCTAATGGGGACAAGGAGGTGCCCAAGCGTAAAAGAAATTAAACTGGGGAAGGGGGCTTGTGAGTGGCAGTGTTCTGGCCGGAGAGGTCTCAGCAGGAGTGTCTGGGTGTGGCCTTTGGGAATGTTCTTTGGGGAGGGGGGAGGCTGATCAGCTGGCACAGGTGTTTCACTGCCCGCTCATCCTCTCCCTATCTGTACTGGCTCCACTGCTGAAGTTTTTGCAGCCACATTGTGAGAACGCAAATCAAAGACACCCCCTACGAGGGAAAACAGAAAGGAAAGACCTTAGCCCAGCATTGCCTATCCCCAGTCTTCTTTTTCAGGAGTAAAAATAAACACAATTTCTAACTAACATAGTGAGCAGTGCATCTAAAGGGATTATCCAGGAAACGAAGCTGGTAAGAAAAGAAAAAAAAAATGCAAAATTGAGGTCCAGCTTGTACACGTCCGTGACATTTGATGGAATTGGTTGCTGTGGAAACGACACATTTTCTGGGGAGTGGAGGAAATGCCACTATTATGGTAAAACAAACACAAAGGAATTGCTTTTGGCCTGGAAATCCCTCTGCGACCCTGGTGGCTGAGCGACCTTGCTGAGAGCATTGACCAGGCCTGCTGTGGGCTGTGCTTTTTCTTTCTTACTTTCCTCCAACAGAATTAGGTTCTGCATTTTACTGAGACTTTC